AAGAGAGAGATGGTCCTTTGATGGCGAGCTGTTGATGAAACCCAGCCAAAGGGGTTAGCTTTTGAAGGGAGCAAGGAGCTAAAGGGCATGGGCCAGCCAACAACGAAGCAGCAATCACCACACGCAAATTCTGGTCTCAAGCAAAAGAACTCACATCATCATTGGTTCATCTGACTGTAAAAAGATGATCAGCTATAGACTCTAGCTACCAATCATGTAGAGTTGAGTGATGGGCTCTTGTGCTGACTGTGTAAAAAGAAGCAGCCATCCAATGAGTCACAACCACCCCGAAAGCTAAGATTGACGTCACCACGAAACGAAAGGACCAGAATTGACAGTGTCCGAGAACGCAAGAGAAGCTGTGATTCATTCGATTGATTCGTGGAAAGTGACGTACAGTAAAAGTCCCAGTCAATTGCACGAGGTCCTTGTTCCTGCAACTTCCGGCCACCCAAAAGATACGTACAAGTCGAAGTTAGGTTTGGTCACTGGCTATCGAATGCCCGTAGTTCTTGGGCCAACGCCGCCAACGCGTTCTTTGTATTGAATTCCAACAACCGAGCAAACTTCCCTTACGATTGCCGTCAATTTCGGCAACAAAGTTTATCGATTGACTATCAATCATTTTTATTGCTCCGCAGCAATAACACTCGAAGGATTGTATTGTTTTTGTTGAGGCCCCTCTGAAGAAGAGGAGCCCCCAGAGTCGTCAAGACGTTTCCCCACGCTGGTTTCCGCCAATCCTGTGTTAAAGGTAAGGAAATGGAATGCTAATTATTTATCGTTCGTTGCGATGGATATCAGGGTTGGGTGGAAGAGTTGACTGGTGAAGATTTGCTATGAAAGATTCGTTTGGCTTTGTTTTCTTCCAGAGGATGTTGTACCTCCAAGGGGTAATGGGGTTGGCTTGATGGGGTGGCCAACCTTGGTGATTTGTCATTGCTCTTACTGCAAGCGGGAATCTTACTTGATGTGTCGTTCTCCGCATTGGATTCTAACTTGATTGTGCCTTGTGTATCTTGCTTGAACCACAGGAGGAACATCTGTCATACTTTGCCAAAGTTCGAACTTCCCCATAGGTTAAAAGACAAGGATTTTGAAAAACAAGATGAAGATGCATCACGTGAACAGCATGCCGGCTCTTTGTGGCTCGGACAGCGATGACAACAGTTCCAAGGATTCCTCGACTGGTCGCAACAGTGATGCTACCCATCCACTATGCCCACTCGCCATGGAAGTTTGGTGGGTCTGGATCACATGGTGGATGAGGTGACCACCGGAGTCGAGCCTCATGTGGGGTACAAGAAGGTGAGCTATAATTTCAAATTGAAAATTCAGGGGTATTCTTGCGTGAATATCTTTTCTCACTTTTTCAATCGTTTTTCAATCTTTCTCGCCCTAAAATCAAAAGGTACTCGTCACTGGTGGGGCTGGTTTCATTGGCAGCCATGTTGCTGAATTTCTTTTGGAACGTGGCGACGACGTGGTTACTGTTGATGAAATGAACGACTACTATGATGTGCGCATCAAAGAAAACAATCTTCAACAACTTCGTGCAAAGTACCCTGAGGAAGGTCGTCTCAAAATTTTTAAAGCAGATATTTGTGACGAAGACGTCATGTCCAAAATCTTTGAAGAAGAGGGACCCACCTGGGTTTGCCACATGGCAGCCCGTGCAGGAGTGAGGCCTTCGATTCAGGATCCCTATGTCTACATTCACAGCAACATCAAGGGAACCACACACCTCATGGAACTCTCGGCAAAGCATGGAGTCAAGAACTTTGTCTTTGCTTCGTCCTCTTCGGTCTATGGAGGTTCTAAGAGCACATTCTTTTCCGAGGACGAAGTCGTGGATAATCCCGTGAGCCCGTATGCTGCCAGCAAGAAGGCATGCGAGCTTTTGGCATACACTTACCATCATCTCTACAACCTAATATTTCTGGACTCCGTTTCTTCACGGTCTATGGACCTCGAGGAAGGCCTGAATGGCTCCGTTCAAGTTCATTGACCGTGTGAGCCGAGGTGTTGAAATTCAGCAATTCGGTGATGGATCTTCCTCTCGTGACTACACTTTCATTTCAGACATTGTCGATGGCATCGTCCGTGCCTTGGATCGTCCCCACCCGTACGAAGTCTTCAACCTTGGCAAGGGCTCCGGCACTTCTCTCAAGGAGTTTATTGACTTGGTTCAGAAACACACCGAGAAGGATGCGGTCATCAAGGTCATGCCCGACCAGCCTGGTGACGTCCCCTACACTTGTGCTGATGTGAGCAAGGCTCATGCTATGTTGGGCTACAAGTCCAAGGTGGCCTTTGAGGAAGGGATCCGTCGCACTGTGAAGTGGTACAACGGTGCTTACAACGCCAAGGAACTGGAAGTCTGCCCTGAACTCCAGGCCAATGGAATGGGCCGTGCTCCATCCATGGTGAACTTGTCTCAGACTTGTTAGGCGAAGTTAGGGTGATGTCCCAACTGCATGTGGCAGTGACATGCACAACGAGCAGCAGATGATTTCCGTTCTGTAGTTGTGAAGTTAGGAGAAACCTCACACGTTTCATTTACACGTAGTAGTTGAATAAAAAGAAATAGTTTGATGGGTACATTTGAAGATACATGTAGCCGAGTACAAGCAGTAGAGCTCTAAGATCAGGGCCGACCCACGGTGAGGGAGAAGCCCGGGACACGGTACAGACCGTATGACCATACGGATGTCCTTGTTTGAGCAGAACAATGTGTCAGTCATGCGGGGTACCCTTAATAGTACTGTATGTCCAGCACTCTGGGAGAACCGGCTTGGAGTTGTCGATTGTCGATCCGATCCCGACGGCGGATGAACTCAAAATGCCGACAGTGGCAACCGTATTTATTAGACTAGTCAGTCTACGTGCGGGAAGAGAGACAAAACCTCAAAATGTTGCGAAGAGGAGCAAAAGACAAAGAGGCCACGAGACAATCTCGATTGACGGGTCGCCTCCCAGTAAGGTGTAGTGTTCAATGAACCGAATAATTCAATCCGCTGCTATTGAACCAGAAGTCGCTTCAGGGGAAACTGAACTGGACATCGGTGATGTGGCCGGGCTAAAGCAGTCAGCAGCACGAACAGCATGATTTTGTTCGCCAAGACTTCGATGAGCAAGTAAGACCGTCCCCGACAATAATAACAAGAACCAGATCAACGGGGAGCGGCCGAGATTGAATTCGACTCGATCAAATGAAGAGCAGTGCCAGGCTATCCTGCAGAAGATTGTCGTACTAGTAGTACTAGTATGCTACAACTGACTTGTTCCAAGCTGTTCTGTCTAGATCAACCAGCAAGATTGTGCTTTCACTTTAGCAATCCGCGTGTTGGATCTTTTGACCACGACCATGCTCGGTTTAGTTAGTTCCACCGGTACCTTGTTGGATCTGCTTCAGGCTCCACTTCGTTCGGCTTTTTGCTTTGCTCCAATCACCAAGGAGATACGGCGAGAGGAATGAGCACAGGGGAGAGTGAGGCCAAAAACAAAAGGGCCGAGCTGCGGGTCACTACGGATCTGATGTTCCGAATGCCAAACCTACACCCCCCTGGCTGGAGACGATACTGAATACTGAAGTTGGTTGTTGTCTTTTTGTCTAATGCTTTGTTAGCTGTATCCTACTATCATCGACCTTGTGCCTACGACCACTGCCAACCAGGAATGCGTACAGCTCCAACCGCGAGAGCCCACTCGACGGTTTGTATCTGATTTTGTTCCGGCAACCGCTATCACAATCTGCTTTGCACATCTACTATTCTCTATGATTCTGATTGTTCATCGTGTTGGTTGTTGCTGCAGCTATAACTCCTGATTCTAGCGCTGGTCTATTCAATAACAAGGTTCCCCAAACCCAGTGACTGTCGCTATCTCATCATACTTCCGCCACCTCCGTGACTTCCGCCTTGACCGGTCGTTGCTGGTAGAAAACCGCCGGAGTCTTTTCCTCTTCCTCTTCCTGTAACTCTGGAACCTGATTCTCTTCTCCTGCGAGACTCACCAGCGCAGGAGAGGATGAGGGAGCCGCGACTTTGCCAGTGACCACATTCATTCGCTGCTTTCGTTGTTCGTCAGTGAACTTGGCGCTGACTTTGCTTTGTCGAACTTTCTTGTTCTTGACATCGAGACCTTCTCGTAGTGCTTGCGATGCCTTGGTAATGGCCTTCTTCCTGAGCACTTCTACCCACGCCCCCGTGGCATCATCGCGTTTCAAGAAGCGACCACCGGAAGCCAGGACCTCCTCATAGACGGCAATGGCAATGGCCGTCTTTTCCTTCTTCTTGGAACCAAGGTATTCTACTTGCTTGCTTGCTACAACTTCACGAAACTTGATGTTACCACTGTTGTTATTCGTGGCTCCACCTCGTCCACAGAGGACATCGAAAGGACCAATAGAGTTCTGCATAGTTCTTTGTTGCTTGTGGTTGTCTTCTTGTTGATGTTTTTGTGAGAAAGCTTGAAGTGGGTTCTGAATTCGAACCGTTGCGAATGAAATCAATCGTGTCCGGCAATCGTGCTTAGTCTTCCAAGCCAAAACCGTAAAGTGTCTTACTTTCAAGAAATACGGCGCGAATGATCATTCAAGACTCCCGCTTCATGATGCATTGTGGTTTAGCTTGCCGGTCAGCAACTAATCTTAATTAAAAGAGCCCCGGGAATAGTGGCAGTTTTGCTTGCAACACTTGGCACATCCGAGTAAAGTAATGCAGACAATTGGTACCATGACCATTCGGTAGTCTAGATGTAGTACCACCCCAAGCAAAGTGAGAGCGCCGCTGAATCTTGATGGCGGCTCCTCCATCCGTCATCCTCTCCCATGCCGGGACTATGTATATGCGTTTACGGATGTTCATCATCCAAGAATCAAATCTTTCCTGTAGTTCCATGTGTGCAATGCCATAGTACTGTGGGTTTCTGGCTGCCTTCAAGGTTCAATCGAACCGTCCACACCTACTCTCTACTAGCTACGGTAGCTCTAGCTAGCCTTGTACCGCTGATGAGAACCGTCCCGTCCCGTGCATGCTGGGGCATCCCAAGCCTGTTTATCCCTCGCCCTAAGGATATCCCTTTCCCTACTGCACTTTTTAAGTGGCACTCTAACGGACACCTTGCCTGCTGGAGGGCTCGCTCGAAAAAATATCCTTGGAGACCAATGCAGCACCGCACGATGGCTGCAAACAATAAGCTAAGACTAACAACAGCTCTGGGACCCACCAACAAGAGCATGCAACCATGATATCGGAGTTTTTTGTGCTATCACCAAGGGGAGATACGATCATTGCTAAACAGTACCGCAATGATCGGGGAGATGTAGGCGCACACGAACGAAGTCACACCGAAGCTTTCTTTCGCAAAGTAAAATTTTGGAGTGATGCCACCAATGAAGAAGAGTATGAAGAGCTGCAAGACGACGACAAAGCCGAAGATGGAGCCCGGCTGAAGCGGAAAGGAGACGCACCACCAGTCTTCCTCATGCCAGATGGGATGGTCTATGTACATGTCAAGCGGAATGGTCTGATCTTTTGCTGTACCACCGCTCGCAACGTTAGTCCCAACACAGTCATCGAGGTAGGCTTGGATTTATTTTGCGTTATTGGATCTTCTTCGAATTATCGTAATCAAATTTTCAAATTTTGTCTTGTTTCTCACTTGTGGTGCTCACTCAACTTAGCTCCTGGCAAGCATAGCAAGAATCTTCAAAGATTATTGCGGTACGCTGTCGGAAGAAGCTTTGCGGAAGAACTTTATTTTATGCTACGAACTGCTCGATGAAATGATTGATTATGGCTATCCTCAAGTCACACGGACGGAAAACCTGAAATCCTTTGTCTACAATGAACCCATTCTGGTGGAACATGTGGTCAACACGGGCAATCTCGTAAACCCCAAGACGGCGTCTGCATCGGCGGTTCACAAACCAGTCATATCATCCGTCAATGAAAATGGGCGAAAGTCCAATGTCAATGCAAACCAAAAGAATGAAATTTTTGTCGATATTCTGGAAAGGCTCAATGTCCTCTTCTCCAACAATGGCTACGTGTTGAACAGTACCATCGATGGATGCATTCAGATGAAGTCTTATCTAGCGGGAAACCCGGAACTGCGGCTGGCATTGAACGAAGATTTAGTGATTGGCAGAAATAACGCCGGATCATATGGTTCGGTCGTTGTGGATGACATGAACTTTAACGATTGCGTCAACCTGGCGGAATTTGAGTCTGCTCGGACTCTCTCCTTCATCCCACCTGACGGAGAATTTGTGGTGCTCAATTACCGCGTGACGGGAGAATTCCCAACCCCATTCCGGATCTTTCCATCCATTGAAGAGGTGGAACCCAAAAAACTGGAGGTTGTCATTCTGATCCGAGGAGAAATGCCGGCCAATCACTTTGGGGCCAACGTCACTGTGGAAATGCCAATGCCTCGTTGCACCGCAGCAGCTTCTTGCAATGTCATTTCCAGTCCGGGGTCGGGCTACGCCAATGCGGAGTATGTAGCACACGAAGGAAAGCTCGTGTGGACCATGAAAAAGTTCCCTGGAGGGACCGAACAAACCATGCGGGCCAAGGTCACTCTCAATCAGCCGTGTACGACACAGATGCGACGAGAAATTGGACCCATCAACATGACATTTGAGATCCCAATGTACAATGTGTCCAGTTTGAATGTGCGCTACCTGAGGGTTGCCGAAGCCATGGTCGGATACACTCCCTATCGATGGGTGCGATATGTGACCCAAAGCAGCTCATACGTCTGTCGATTGTAAACCATGGCTGAATTGCGACAACAGCGGTGCATCGATCGATTCATCCTTCCTGCCTTTGTGCGATTACACTAAAAGCATGCAAATAATAATAACACATTTTAAAAAGAACTCAAAAAGCCAGTCGAACGGCATGTAGTATTGAATCACTCCGAAACTTTTGAAATCCCTTTACCCTTGGCAAGTCCTTCTCTCCACCGGGCGCAACACCAGGACTACAACATACTAGTACCGGTACTCCAGGACCAACACCAGACCACACGAAAACCATTATTACATACCTTGTTGCTACTGTAGCTAGTGCCTCGAGAGGAGGCTGACCTTTGACAATGCTTCGACCAACGGTGCATCGCCAGGACACAGGAAACTCCGTGGGACCAACCCACACGCGTCTACTCCTGGCTGGACTTATAATATCCCTGGACTGTCTCTCGTGCTCTGCTCTGCTCAGGGACCAACACTACCGGTAGGACCACCACAAGGACGAACTCAGCATCAGTACCAACCCCAACCAATTCTAGGAAGAAATCCAGGCTGAGGCCAGACCCTACCGATACTCCAGGAGGACCAACACCAAGACCTATTAATAGCTACTCCTGGACTTTTACTCTCTCCTGGACCAACACCGCTGTCTAATCCTTCACTTCAACATCAACTACGCAGTCCTGGTCTCCCCCCCTTCCCTCCCGTCCCTTTGACCGTCCCCTTGTCCATACCCTACTACATGTAGCTAGTAGACCTGCAAAAAGATTCTTGGCTCTGCGCTGTCTTCAATCTTTTGAACCAATTTGAATCGAATCAGAGTCAAATCGAATCCCATTCGATGGATGAATGATGAATCGAATCGAATCGAATAGACACAACACCGGCATCAGAGCATCTCTGCGACCTTTCCAAGGAAATTTGAGCGATTTTCAAGAGAGGTTGGCCTTCTCGAACTCCCAAATCCTTGGCCGGCTGGGTGCGTTGGAGCGCTTGACACCCTCTCAAAATCAAGCAGAGGGCCAAAACCTTGCCTCGATTGCATGCATGCAGCACCGAACAGCAACAAAGCTGTCCTTGTTACCATTGTCCTGTAGCCAGCTAGTCGCTACATAGCACAACACTATGCCTCCCAAGCGTGGCAAGAAGCAGAAGGCTGCTCCCAAGGCCAAAAAAGAGGAGGAAGCCAAGAAAGAAGAGGAAGCCAAGAAGGAGGAGGAGACCAAAGATGAATCCAAGGCAGAAGAATCCAAGGAGGAGTCTGTGAAGGACGAAGCCGACGACAAAAAGGAAGCCGCCAAGGAGGATTCAAAGGATGACGACAAGAAAGATGACAAAAAGGAAGATGACAAAAAAGAGGAGGCCAAGGACGACGATGACAAGAAAGATGACAAGGAGAAAGCAGCCAAGGCTGATGACAAAAAAGCCGATGATGACAAAAAGGCCGATGACGACAAAAAAGATGTGAAGGAAGATGACAAGAAGGAAGAAACCAAGGCTGATGACAAAAAGGAAGACGATGACAAAAAAGAGGCAGCTAAAGACGACAAAAAGGCTAAGGAGGAGGAGGACAAAAAGGATGCAAAGGAGGCGGAATCAAAGGACGATGATAAGAAGGAGGAGGACAAGAAAGAGGAGTCTAAAGATGACAAGGAAGAAGGGTCCAAAGATGACAAGATAGAGGAGTCCAAAGATGATAAAAAGGAAGATGATAAGAAAGAAGACGATGAAAAAGACAAGAAAGATGACGACAAGAAGGAAGACGAAGAGGAGGAAGAAGAGAAGCCCAAAGCCAAGGGCAAGGGAAAAGGCCGGGGCAAAAAGGCACCCGCCGCTAAAAAGGGCAAGGCCGCTGCCAAGAAGGAAGTGAAAGAGGAGGAGGAAAAGGAAGAAGAAAAACCTAAAGCCAAGGGCAAGGGGCGAGGCAGAGGAAAAGCTAAAAAGGAGGAGGAGAAAGAAGAGGAGGAAGAAAAACCTAAAGCCAAGGGACGTGGCAAGGGCAAGAAAGCAGCACCTGCCAAGAAGAAAGCCAAGAAAGAGGAGGAGGAAGAAAAGGAAAATGGCAAGGAAGATGACGACGAGAAGGTCAAGAAAGAAGAGGATGATGCAGAGATGGAAGATGCTGATGACAAGAAGGAAGGTGAAGACGACAAGAAGCGAAAAGGCGATGGCGAAAAGTCTACTCCATCTGGAAAGCGCGCTAGAAAGTCCTCCACTACGGCTGCCTATGTGCCTGATGACTTTACTGAGAAGAAGAACTACGTGAAGGTGATCAAGGGACGAGGAGAAAAGCTTCGTAATCTGACATCTGTCAAGGCTGCCATTGACAAGCACCCTGTGACCTCCGATTCGTTTCAGTCCGCCTTCAAGTTCGTCTTCCCTTCCCGCGGGCGCATCAACAAGAACGTTGCCAAGGCCCAGCTGCTTGACTACTCTGGTTACCTGCCCGAGCGCGACGAAGACTTTGACCAAGAAAAGGGCGAAAAGTTGGATGAGGAAATCGAGGTAAGTGCTCGCACGATTGATGGAAGCGATGTGGTTCTTTGCTGCGCCTAGTTTTAACGAATCGATTCGTGTGTTTGTGCTGTTTAAAATCGACCAGACCAAGTACTCCAAGAAGGCTTACAAGATGACAGTTCCGGAGATTAAAAAGCTGTGCGACTTTTTCGATGTGGACCGCACGCCCGGACCCGACGATAAAAAGGTGGACAAGGATGTCCTGATAGACCGTCTTTTGGATTTCTTGTCGAATCCCGAAGAAGAATTCACCAATGCTCACAGCAAGAACAAGAAGACGGCTCCGCCACCCAAGAAGAAGGCGAAAAAGGGCAAAGCCAAAGAAGAGGACGAGGATGGTGATGAAGAAATGGAAGACGCCAAAGATGATGAGGAGGAAGACGACGAAGAGGAAGAAGGAGATGACAAGGGCAAGGCTGAAGGGGATGGCGAGGGAAAGATGCCTACCGACAAGGAATTGCGCAAGTGGGTCAAGGCATATGTTGCGTGCCACAACATGAACACCGCTACAACGAAGCATGCGTTGGAAGTTGCCTCGAGCAAGTTTGGGATCGATATGAAAGGCAAAAAGAAGACAATCAAGCTCATGCTCACCGAAGAATGTTAGAGCATAGCTTGGCTTGTCTCTTCTCTTATTTTGTGGTGTAGTATTACAGTATTCATTGCTTATTGCTTTAAAGAAACGTTATTTGTGAAATCACCTTTGTCGGCTCAGATAGATAGTTTGGGTGCTATACAGTCGTACCGTTCCCGTTCTTTATGATGGCTCATTGATGGTAAAAAAGTGTTTGGCTCCGGGAGATGGAAACATTAGCCGCACTGCTTTTTCATTCCCTGAAGTGTTTGCATTACCTCGCGAGCTCCATTCCGAAGAAGGGTATCGAGAGAGCGCAGAATGATACGGCCAGTGTCCCATATTATGGTGGGGAGATGGAGACAAACCATGAATACAAATTGTGCGCTTGCTTCTAATGGAGGGATGATGCATGAGCTCTACGGTACCGTACCAGTACAGCACAAATCTGGATCTCGAGGTTCTCTACCGTAGCTAGTACCTGTAGAGCATTACCAGTTGAACAACGAAGAAACGTAACAGTGTCTCTATATTTATTATAAACAGTAATCAATGCTCCCATGCAGCACGCCGAGAAACTATCTTGGAGAGAACCCTGGACGAATCAGGAAACGTCTAAACGAACAATGAAACTACCTAGATTAGAACCTCGAATTTGAGAAGTTGGAAAGACGGATGAAAGGAAAAAGTGGATCATAAAAATTAATCCCCACTCTCCTCTGTTTTTCTTGTCCACACTCCAACCTGAACCAAAGAAAACCACCATCATTGCCAACCACCAAACCTTGGCGCTCTTGGTTCTAATAACTAACAGCAGCACATTTATTTCCAGTAACCTTGCTTGTATTGCTGGTGGGCAGAGCCAAAAGCCATCAGCCCCCAGCCAGCGGCAGCGATTCCAATGACAAAGGAAGTGGTGACGGCAAAGTTGTAAGGAGGATGAAAGACCAACTGCAAACAAAAGAGCGAAACAAGACAAATAATGGGTGAGGTGAATGAATACGAAAATAGATTCGCAATTTTTGTATTGCAGTGGATCATCGACACGTACATGGAGATCATCGTGATCCTTGGGTGCTCGGGTCTTTTCCAACTCTTGCCAGCAGTCCTTGGCCTTGTGCATCTTGGGGGTACCAGCCGTGCTCTGGAGGCGGCGAGCAGCAACCTGCTTGGTTGTTCGGAGAACAGCGGAACGGCCGATCATCATGGTGGAGTCTTTATGCGAAGGCAGCAAAAAAGTGGATGACGATGCTGTTGGATTTCTGGGTGCGACTTCGTCTGTCCGTCGTCAGTCTACTACACGGAAATCTTATTCTTCCGACTGTCTTCTGACGCCCACACCACAATTGCAAGACACTGACAATGATGATGCTGCTGATCCGAAGCTGCAACCAACGGTGTGCACTGGCTGTACAGCGACAACCAGCCAGACGGGTCGCATCTCTTGCTTCCTCACAGCGCAAAGCGGCGTATGTTCGCAAACGAGCTCAAATCAAGTGTCAAGCGCCACCATCTATTGCCAGCATTCCAGCCGAGCCATCAGACCCCATTGGCAATGCAGGAGCCTATATCCGAGCCATTGGTTGTTCTCGACGCGTCTACTTGAAAAACACGTACTTGACTGCCGAAGAAATCGAAGGATTGGCGTATCGAGTGCGAGTCTTGTCGAGCAATGAGTTTCTGAATTCGGTACTCATCTCCTCCACCGACGATGACGACCCCGAACAGACGCAAGGGCTCGATAAAGAGATTGACATGTATGCTGGTGGCGACATTCTTGATGGGTACTTGTTTGATCCCAAACCGGGTCATGTCTTGCATGCCGTGGGAGGATACGATCCCTTGGCACTTTTCAAATCGGGCAAGCACAAAGATGCTGCCGCTGTGGCTTCCTTGTTGGATTCCGTCTCGGATTTGGCACTGGCGACTCTGGGACATGCCAGAAAGAGCAAGGTCCCAGTCATTACCATTCCTCATGGATCCGTTACCGATAGTGGATATGCCTTGTGTCTGTCGACGTACATGTGCGCCACCGAACAAACCCATTTCAGAATCTTGAACCCATCGCGTGGATTGACATTTGATCCAGTCGGATTCTCCTACATTCTGCCCAAATTGAGACAAGAGTTTCATCAACAATCATCTTCGTCGTACGGAAAGAGTTGTGGATACATTCTGGCTCTCATGGGGTACGAAGCAACACCACAAGACATGATGGAGACTGGACTGGCCTCACATTACTTGGAGAATCCAATGGCCATCATGGGGACCTTGGAACGGACGCTGTCACTACTGCCCCCCTGGAACCAACAGCAATGTGTCAAGAATCCTGTTGTCATGGAGGGTGACAGCCAGAAAAACTATTATCGAAACCCGGAAGATGTGCCCGATTACAATCTTCCGTTTCGCAACGTTCAAGTGGCCAGCACCATGCAGGCATTTGCCGAGTACAAGGCCGATGGCCATGCTCCTTACACATATGATACCAAGGATGACGAATGCTTTCCAGCAGCTTTTGACCTGGAACCGCTGCCATGGGATGTCGCTCGAGAAAGCGATTTGGTCAATTATGCCGCTACTTTTGATGAGATCTTTCAGCAAGAAAACACGGTGGAAGGCTTGATCGAAGCATTCCGAGAAATTGGTGAACGAGGGACGCAAGATCCGGAGGAGCAAGAGGGTATTGATGTCGCAGCGGACTTTGTGCGACGATTAGAGGCACAGGCTCCACTGGCGTTGCGGGTCACACACAAACTGCTAAAGTTGGGACAAGGTCCTACGGAAACCATCCAATCTTGCATGGAACGAGAAAAGAATGCCCAAATGAAACTCATGACGATGCCAGATTTCCACAACTGGGGCAAAGCACAGCTCACTGGCGGTAAGGCAAGCAAGCTCATGTCATGGCAACATCGAAGTGTGGCGGATGTCACGGAAGATGAGGTTTCAGAAGTCATTGGATTGCATTAAATTGAAGTGATGCTACAGTATGGTGCTTCTAGCTAAGTTACACTTCTACAAATCAAATCACTCCGTAGCGTGCTTGGTCTTGGCCAAGTGGGCCGTATCGTGGAGGCTATTTTGCAGCCACCGGCTTTCCACTGCCGGTAGATGTCATTGAAATCTGTAGCATTCAGATGCAGATCGATTCGTTACCGCGTTGCCCCCCTTGAAGGCAGCACTGGCAACTTCGGTTACTTTCATATTATGTTACAAAAACAACTTGCTACTGGTACAGGCAGCTAGAACCACGAAGTAGTATGGTTGGAGCTAATAGCCTAGACCACCAATTGCTGTAGCGCCTTGAGTTTCCTTCTCTCCCAGAACCTTCTGCCCTTTCACGTTCTTAGCAACGAAACTAAAGCTTTGGCCAGGCTGCAGTGCAAAAAGAGGGGTCGTTGCAAAGGAACAAGTGTTAGAGTTGCTTTCTTGGAGGGGGTAGCAACGAAGAACGATTATTGGTACCGGTAGGTACGGGTACTAACCCTCCAGCCTGCATCTAGGGCTTCTTTCATAGAATCAAACTGTCGCCATTTTGGCTCCCCTGGAATTTCCTCCACTACAGCAGATTGGGTATCATCGTTTGATTTCTTGCTCTTCTTTTTCTTCTTCTTTTTGTTGCCTTTCTTTGACGGCGGTGGGATAAAGAAGTTCTCCAGTTCAAATTCAGCACGTGTATTCTCAAATGGTCTGATATTGTTTTGCTGCATAGCCTCCAGGACTGTCTCTCGGGCACACTCATCCATTGCAAAGGCACGGTAGGTAGGTTCAATGTGGGGTGGGATCGTTCCTGGGCGGAAACCCTGGAATCGTTCTTTCTTGGCGTCTGCCGTCACTTTTTTGTAGATTGCGTCAGAAAATCGTCCCAAATCTGCTTCGACTCTTTACAGTAAAGTGTTGTGAAAAAGAGAAAAAGGAGTTTTTTAGTATCACTGGCTAACCAACCCAAAGCTCATCAAGGTTGCAAAAACCAACATACCCATCGATTTTGATAATCCATTCTACATGAGGTTCGTTTCCCACTGGTTGAACCGAGCAACCCTTGATAGTTCCATCGGCTGTATTGGAAACAACTTCACCATTCCAAGGGAGGCTCGAAGACTGGAGACTGACGGGAAAAGATCTTCCTGAAACACTTGCTTTGTGAGACGGTGCCCATGCTAGGCAAAAGGATACCCCACAAACGATCCACAACAAGAGCGGATTCAGGAATCTCCAACCGACCATTCTCGATGTGACTTTTCTCAAAATATTAGTGCGATGTCGGTGTCTGAATGTGCTGCACAGCCTCACAAATACCGATCACAGTAGACCACAAGGTGTCAATTTTTCTTTTTGCCTTCCAACGTCCACGCCATGCGAGGAATGATCGGTTGTTGAAGTTTGAGGCAAACGTCAGTCCAATCTCCATTGGATGGATGTAATTGCCAGCCCTGCTAGCTAATAGTCGGCTCTCGTCCGGGTAGGGCAGTGCTACAGTACGGACTGGTGGAGGTCTCCCATGAGAATAGCGATCTAGCAAGCTAGCTACGGTAGCCAGTTCCTGGTAGAGATACCGGTAGAGCATGGCACCAAGCAAGTACATGTAATTTATACATAATCAAGGGTACTGGTACGGGTAGCATCGTTCTTTATCCGACAGAAGTCCCCTCAGCCGGCAAAGGGTTTCGCTCCTGGGAAACCTTGGAGAGTCTTCACTTCAGTCTATTGCTGTACTGGATCCAGAGGTCCTCTCAACCCTCTGGAATCTTTTCCTGGGAGCCTGGGAAAGCTTTCACTTGATGAGTACATGACATTGTAGGCACAGCACGAACGCATGCCCTTGCCAGGCTTGGAGCTTGGAGCTTGGAGGAGCCTAGATCTATTCCGAATTTGCCATCATTATTGGTCACCCTCAAACTAATCGAAGCTGCACAGCCGCAGAGCCACAGCGTCACAGCATCTATCCGTGAAGCAAACACCGCAAGAAACGGCTATGTTTTAGACACACTCGGACATCAAGTCTTGCAGATGTCCCGGTTGAATTGCCTTTCAAGTTTCAAGTGCGCTTTCAAGCTACCTGAACCGGTGGCTACTTCAAAGCACCGGTAGGAGCAATAGGCCGGTAGGTGGTTGGCGTTGTTTGATTGTGATTCGATTCGATTCTAACCAGTATCAAAACTCAAAAGACGCGTATTTGCCCATCCTTACTTTCAAGAGCTCTTTCAAGCTACCCTACCTGTGAACCGGAGGCAGAGCTCCGGTGGTGCCTTCCCTTTGAATTGAATCGAATCGAATTGAATCATTCGCTCATTCACTCGCAGACCAAGACCATAGTACTTAGAGATCCCCAATCCCTAAAGGACTACTGGAGTATTCAGCAGCAAGATAAAAAGTAGAATTCTATTTTAAGGCTACTCTGAGTACGACTGTCCACCGTGCCGCTACCCTAAACCGATAACCCCCACCATTCAGCAGCTAGTTGTACATCCAAAGCACAATGAAGGCACCCAAGCGCTGCAACGTTCACGTTGTCACTGGTACATGTACCTCGATGGATCACCACATGCGCTGTGCGTGCACTTGTAAGTCGAATTAGTCGACTTTATCACGGATGAAGCGCGGTCCTTCAGCTTCAGCGACCACGAGGCCTAAGCCACCGGGATAATGGCCCGGCGTCGGTCGGAGGAGGACAAATTTACGCCGACCGAACTGCCTTTTCGAGGGCGGAAGCAACCATGACCACTGCCCCTGTAGCGTCAGGTTTTTGCGCCGTTTGGGACATGTGGCTACGGCAAGCTACTAGTACTCGTAGTGAAGCTGATTAGTTTTTTGTACTGATACTATTGATGACGAAGTCAATGAAGGAGGGGACGTATTAGTATGAAGCAAACGCTTTCTCATTGAAGAACTGTAGTACTGACGACAGTTTCTCTTTAGAGAGGCTAGCTGGGTGGCTATAGGTGTCTCTCACAAAGTCTGCTTGTGTTGAACCTTTTGGCAGTCCGATATCGATTTTGCAGCTCATGGGAAAGCGCAACTTCCATGCGTTTTGCTTTGGGATGGGTTGCTGGCAACTGTTCAATGCGGCGAAACCTCCACAAACCAATCATAGATCAAGTA